TGGAAAGGCTGTGAAGTGCGGCCGCATAATTTTTTTTGTGCGACCGCAGAACTTGAAAATGTGCGACCGCACTTGGATTTGCGATCGCACTTGGAAATGTGCGGACCGCACATTGGGAGGTCAGAGGGTGTACTATATAACTGAGGCCTAGGTTATTATTTCATTTTTAGGACCTAGAGAGCTCAGTTTGTGACGTTATTTTATTGGGTTTTAAAAAAATTCATCGGGGTAAGTAATTCTAACTCAGATTTGGTTAACATACATGAATATATCATTGTTTTCATCATTTACTCAGTATTTTGAAATGAAATTTTGGATAAAATTGTAGAAATTTCATAAAACGAATTTTTTGGATTTGAATACCGATTCGGAGTCGGATTTGAGTGAAATTAGTATGGTTGAACTCGTAATTGAATGAGTTATCAGATTTTATAAATTTTGTCGGCTTCCGATATGTGGGCCTGCAGGCGATTTTTGAGTGTAATTTTAGATTTTGTGGGAAAATATTAGTATTTTGATATGGAATTAATTTTTATAATTGTGTGGACTGAATCAAATTAATTGTATCTAGATACGGGACTTTTGGAGACCAATTATCGAGGCAAGGGCATAGCAGAGTGAGAAATTACATGGTTTGAGGTAAGTAACACTTCTAAACTTAGTTCTAAGGCTATGAATCCCCGAATTATTATTATATAAATTATTTGGAGGTGACACACACGATAGTTAACGAGCATGTGGACATGCACTATTGAAGCTGTGACTTGAATAAATTCTATGAAGTTGTAAAAATTTAAGAATCATGTTATTATCTGAACATTTCCTGCGTGTTAGAGAAATTGAGCTGAGGCTCTTATTAAAGATCATGTTTAGGCTACGTGCCGATATTTTGGGACCCATAGGGTCGTGTTGCTGTTAAATTAATTGTTTTAAAATATACATTTCATACTCAGACATGCTCATCCATTGTGAGGATATTTATGGAATCGGGTTGCACGGATTGGGACTGCCCGCCTATAGTAGGCCATGTTGGCTTTATATCACGCTTGGGCTGAAGGAACCCCTCTGGAGTCTGTACACACCCTCAGTGAGCGTAGATGATTATATATATATATATATATATATATATATATATATATANCCTTGGACATAGATCTTGTCTGTATCATTTACATGTGGGGGTAAATCACCCCAGGGTTGGATTGGCTTTATACGATACTGAGGGACTGACTGTCAGTCGATGTGAATATAAATATCCCTGGGTTGGATTGGCTATAGACAGTACCGAGTGACCGAATGATTTGTGACCAGTAGTACAAGAAGTCTTTCCGCTGAGATGTCATATTCCTAATATCATGCAATATTGATCTATTTTGCTCGTACTGAGTTTAACTATTGAACTTGAAAGTTTGCCTACATTTCTGTACCGTTATTTATGTATTAGAATGTACCTGCAGAGCTCGTCACTACTTTCAGCCCAAAGGTTAGTCTTGTTACTTATTGAATTGGTTGTACTCATACTACACTCTGCACTTCATGTGCATATCCAGGTGCTCCCGGATACGACGACTGCTAGATTTCGGAGTTATTTTTGCTGGAGACTATCAAGGTAGCTGTTTGACGTCCGCATACTTGATTCTCTTCTTGTTTAGTTATTGTACTGTTCTATATTTTAGACACTAATTTTTATCCGTCATACTTTGTATTCATTTAGATGCTCATGTACTTAGTGACACCGGGTTTGGGGAGTATTTATATTTGTATTTGTGAGATTTCTTTCGCTGAATTTAATTATTATGTTTTCAAATTTAAAAGATATGGTGATTCATTGGGATTGTCGGCTTGCCTAGTATTGAGTTAGGCGCCATCACGACAGGTGAGATTTTGGGTCGTGACATGGATTGAGTTTAATAAATGAGCGAGTCAATAACCAGCCCAACCTTAGGTAAGTCATTTGGGCTTGGGCCAAATTTGACAGCCCTAAACATAACCTATGTAATAAACTAAGAGTATGCAACTCTCTTTCAATAGAACTGACCGATTATATTGAACATTAAACTGGAATTACAAAGCAAACACTAACTAGAGTAAGGAAGATTGCAACAGAAAGCCAACGAAAAAAAGGGATGAGAAAATCTATACATAATTGAGAGTGGGAAGATACCAGAATTGCCTTTGCACATAATTCACGATAGCCTACTCATAGTGTTACCACACACTATTTAATGAATACAAGGTGCCCTCAACCCGGATCCAAGAGTAACCTTTGTGAAGGCCTGGCCCAATTGTTTTTTCTCGGACCAATATCAATTTATGTGACATCTTTGTTGATATCTATATTGGGTTGTGCTAGATTATTCATAACAACCTATGACTGGTCTCATTCCCCCCGATCATGAGATTGTTTTGGTTAGAAAAATTTTCAGAAACCACTATTGTTTAGTGGCTATTAACTTCTTATAGCTAACATATACATAATTACTTCCTATAGCTACTATTAAGTTGTTCGGTCGTATATTCGTTGTATTCGCGCTACTGTATTCATGAATATAGTAGCAAAAATTGCCTAAAACAAGGGGTTACAGCTATATGCGACTGTATTCATATGTATTCGCGCATGTACTCATGAATACAGTTACGGTAATCACCTTAAAAATAGGTCTGTCCAGCTGTCTAATAACGAAAATATGTTCAATTAGCGTGATACACTCCTAATATAATTCAACAAAATCAATTCTAACACGCTTCATTATCAACCCATTTAATTAGAATAATTTTTCAGTTGTATTTAATTGTTGTATTTAGTGTGTTTCAATATTTATTTTTTACTGTTGCATTCATTAGATTCAATTTTGTATTTACTGTATTCACTATTCTGTACTCTATGTATTCAACTGTATGTGTATTATCAATATTTTAGTTATTCCTAATACATGTTATTATTGTTGTATTCAGTATATTTTATGGTTGTATTCATTGTATTTCTATTTATATTTTAGTGTATTTTATTATATTTTACTGTATTTTAAAATTAAATGTATTCACTGTTTATATTCTATTATATTTCAACATTTGTATTCAGTGTATTTTAATATTTATATCTTGTATTTATGCATACTATATGTACAGTATGCATGAATACATGTGTATTCAGCTGTATTAAAAAAATACAAACATTCGAGATATATAAATACATGTAAAAAATAATGTATTTATACAAAAAATACAATGTATTTGATTGAATTTGTATAGAATACATAGTATTGGTATCATTGTATGTGACTAAATAGCAAAAAAGAGAGAAAGTTCGTCGGCGATGGCGGCCAAGAAAAATACTAAAAATGGAGACGAACAAAAACCCCGGCCCTCAAATCTTCTACGGCGTAGAAAATATTGCGGTATTCGTCGTCAATGTTACAGTACCCATGCTCTACTCGGATTATTCCATCATTATTTTTGCTCCCCGCTTAGTGGCCCTAGCCTCATAGCGACGGGTCCCTCCTTGCTATGGAGGAATCTGATTTTGAAGAAAAGTTTCGTCTTTTCCCTCTTTCTCCCAATAATTTAGAAGTATTTTTAATTGCAGTAACCTTAGAGGACTCAGTCAATTAGAAGCAGGTATTTTGCTCGAATAGAGAGAGAAGGAAGAGAGAGAAGAAAAATTATGAGAGAGAATCGTATGTAAATTGAAAAAAAGAGAGAGAAAAAACATAAATAGCGTATTCCACGCCTCAATTGTTGTATATATCATAAATACCTATTTTGCTATAAAATATAAAAGATAACTATAAAAAATAATATTTTAAAATAATTTTAATTTATAATAAATAAGGTGGATACCTATGCTATACGAGATACATTTCCTTTAGAAGATTGGAGAGATGAGAAAAGAGTTAGAAAACATTTGAGGAAGAAAAAAATTTGACGTCAACTCATTTTTTATATGTTCACCCGCTAACGAGAAGTGAGACTCAGATTTTGTGCCATGTCATCATCGAATGGGTACAGTTTAGCTCGAAGTCTTGTGTTCAATAGGCATAACCATTAATTAAGGTGTCCAAATAAAAAAGAATAATTAACCCAAATTTCCGCCCATTTATCTCTTAAACTAAAAATAACTAGTGGAAGTATAGTATATGCATAATTTATATATTATGTGTATAATTGTGTATAATCTATGTATATAACTAAAAAGAAAAATAATGAATATAGCTGGCTATTTGTGTAAAGATCCCGATAAAATTTTCGTGCAAGTTTAAGGGTCCGTCCGGACATAAATTGCTTTTTCCTTTTTTTCCAAAGCAATGTTTAGTTATGAAAATTTTACATTTTTCCAAAACCAACTTGAAAATGGATTTTCAAATTTTGAAAAGAGTTTTGGACCAGTTTTTCACCGAAAATCTATAATTTGGGAACTTTAGATTTTAAAAATGTACCCTAAGTTTTTGAAATTTATAAAAGGACCTCATCTGCCCCCTAAAATTAAAAACGTAGCTAACCATCAAACACCCACTTCCCCTTGTTATTGCCTACATTGGGAGAAAGTTGTGGTAAATTAAAGACACTAAAAAAATGGTAGCTTGGTTCACTAAGTTCTCGCTTTATGCGAGTTCGGGAAAGAGCCGATCCATAAGGATCTATTATATGACGCTTTATCCTGTATTTCTGCAAGAGACTGTTTTTACGGCTCGAACTTGTGATCTCTTGATTACATGACAACAACTTTATTAGTCACGAGAAAGCTTCCATTTTTGGCAAAAGACACTTTAAAAGAAAATTTTCGAGTTATCAAAAAAATATACTAACTTTCATAGTTTGTAACAAATGAGAGAGATAGGGTGTTCGGGGAAAAATAAGTTGTCAAAATACCTAGAATTGAGAATGTATCCTTCGTATTTTCAAGTCTTGCAATAAATTTAATATCAAAAGAATTGATAGACAAATAAAAATAGATAAATGCTCGTAATGTTAACACATTAACCCCATTACATGCTAAAAGTTCTCAGTACTCAACCCTTGAGCCAGGCACACCCCAACTAGTACTAGTATAGTAAGCCTTTCTTAATCAGGAGATTGATGGAGGTTGAAAGTTTTTAATTTGTGCCTCACACAACTTATATTAATTGTGCGAAGTTTTTCATCTCGTTGGGCCCATAAAATTTTGGGTCGGCCAAATGAGGACACAACATAAAACTTTTCACGTTTCAAAAAAATTTCTAAGTTTTTCTTCAGCACTTTTCCTCTCCCTTCTCTGTAAAAATCATGTTTGCTTATGTTTGAATAAAGCTTCTATTTTGTAAGTATATTTATTTTTCGCCTTAAATTTCGCATTTCTTTTATAATCTCTGTTATAAAACATATGATTAAAACTTGTCCTTAAGGACACGGTTCAGACTTTGTGTACATTGTGGTTGAATCGTTGGCTCCTTTTTGTGAAATTCTGTTATTGTTTGGTTTCTCTGACAATTTGTGATATTGGGCACTTGAGGTACGATTTGTGATACATTGTGATATTGATACGCATACAGTGGTATAAGGTTTGGGTGTTGAAACGCATACAGTGAGATAAGGTGGGCTTGATACGCGTGGCTAGTAGGAGAACTACTAGAAGTCATGTGGTGTGATAAGGTGGGCTAAAATGCGGATTGCTATTTCGGGGAAAATGATTTTCAAAACTAAATGTAAAGGCTCCCGCGGTGATATAAGGAAAGATTGCGAAATGATTTGTGATATGAGACTAAGAGGCGGTACCTCGGTAGTGACTATTTTTGATACTTTCTATTTCTTCACTTGTGTTTCTGTTGTTTTGTTCCGTGTAGCTATTCTTGGTGTATTTCATTGATTGTCTCATTTCTATTGCTATCATTGTTTCACTGTTATACTCTTGTTCTGTTTCTTATTTATTTCTAGTAGGGCCTTGACCCGACTTCGTCACTACTCCACCGAGGTTAGGCTTGACATTTACTGGGTACCGTTGTAGTGTACTCATACTACTCTTCTGCACATTTTTGTGCAGATCCAGGTGCTTCTTACGAGCCTAGGCACTAGTTGGGTTTCTACTGCGGAGACTTCAAGGTATACCTGTCGGCGTCCCCAGGACTCGGAGTCCCCCTCTCTCTAGATCTCTTATTTCGTTATCCTTATTATATGGTCATGATGTATAGGATTATTCCGTATTCATACGTAGAGCTTGTGACTTGTATTTCGGCGAATTTTGGGCAATTGCATATGTACTGAGTTGTAGAGATTTTCTTTATATCAATTGTTGAGTTTTGAGATTTTTAACTATTGTTTTTGTTATTTCCGTATGTTGTTAGGCTTACCTAGTCGTAGAGACTAGATACCGTCACGATATCATACGGAGGGATATTGGGTCGTGACAAAGGCCTAACAATAGGCAAATAATATATACGATTAGCAAAAAAGCCATAGTTAGTTTGGTGCTTTTGCAGGGGATCAAACGTGCATCCCTGACCTGAATTACTTTGGACTCACTTACCACTGCTCTATAACTTCAGTTAGTGTCAAGCAGGTTCAAATATTATAATATTTACCAGTTTCATAATTTTCTAATGAAATTCCAAGGTAAAAATATTAATTTTTTCAACGAAGCTGAAAACCCCCTCCTACAAGGTGGGTCCGCCCCAGCCGTCAATTAATTAAGCTTTCTGCTTATTTGTGACCCTTTCTTGTGATCTTTTTGTTTGATATATTCTCGTGTTTTTTGTTTGTGTGTTTAGCTGTTCACTTTTGATTATTAAGCCAATTTCAAATGTTCTGAGAATATATTGGGAAGTATAAACAAAAAAGATAGGAAGTTGTCAAAGGCCTTGGAATGAATGGTATTCCATGTAGATGCCAGCACAATACTTCTATCAATTCATAACTAATTCCTTTCTGACCTGCCTGCCTGCATTCATATGGATTACAAATCCGAGCCAAGGATGAGAATCATAGAAAGTTCCCTTATATTAGTCTCGTTCTCTTCCCATTTGTGTGCGGTTGGAGTGGCTGTTTCTGCTGCTTCTTTTCTCCGCTTGGCTGTGCAAATTATGCTATAGTTTGTTTAAGTATCATTCTCAGTTTATCTTGTACGCTCCCCAGTTTCAGTTTCTTTAAAAAAAATGATTTTTATGCTTATTTAAGCTTTTCTTGCTCAGATCTATATGTGATTGACATGTTATTGAGACTGATGATTTTTATTTTTTATTTTTTTTTAGCTTTATAAATGATTTATATTGACGACCCCCATTTGTTTGGAAATGGGATGGTAATCGTTGTTGTAGTGTTTAATACTTTTGACTTCACTTGCTGTTGTCTACACTTGTATTTTCAGTTAGGATTTTGCTAAACATTGTAGACAAAGAATAAGGAACGTTATTGCTGGAATTGATATGTTTAAATCTTTATAGTTATTTAAGGTAGCATTGATTGGAATTCAGTTTTCACAAATAACTTGTGGATTAGGGAAAATGGGTTCTTGGTTTTGGTTGGGGTGGGTGGTGGTTATTGTTGCTAGAAAGAGGCACCCACATCTTTATCTGTTGAGAAAGCTAGTTTTGGAGAGAACTTATATGCTTTTGAACTTCTCGTTGGAGATAATGTAATTTAAGCTGTCTATCAGGTACAAAAAGCAATGAGTTTGAAAGAATTCAGGACATTTAATCGTTTCATTGTTTAATTTTATTAATTTTCTTAGTCTGACTGTTCAGCCTTGTCAACTGTCAGTGGATAAGATTGAAGAATGCTCGACTCTTTTGGGTTTCTATGGTTAACAAGTATACTATATAAGCATGGATTCTGGATGTACTGCATATGTTTTTTTCTTCGGGTGCTTATTGTTTTTTGGTATATTTGATAGGTTTGGTATCAGTGAGGAGGTTTGACCAGCCACAAAGGTACAAATACAAACCATTTGTTAGCAGGTGGATCGTGCAACTGGACCTTGAAATTGGAAGTGTCAGAGAAGTGAATGTTAAGTCTGGACTCCCGGCTACCACAAGTAAGGAGAGATTAGAGCTTTTAAATGACTAGGAGCATATCTTTGGTGTAAAGATTGTCAGTGGGGATCACAGGCTTAAGGTATGAATCTTTTATCTTCTCATTTGATATGTTAATTGACTTGTTAGATGCTTATTTGTATGTGTTAGGTAACCTTGTTAAAAAAGAAAAAAAATTATTTGTGCTGGCAACTTATTTGAGATAACACAATTTGAGCTTCTAATTGAAGTTTCATTTTCCTGAAAGAAGGAATACAGAATCTAATGTATTTTCAATGCTAGTAAACTATGTTGCTGCAGCTATCTTGCATCTTCGTGTTACTGTCATAAGTTTAACTATCATGCTTTGGCGTTTCTGTCACTTTTCGCATATCAAGAGAAAAATAATTTATTTTTCCTGTTTTGCCCATAACATTAATTACTCATTTTCCAAATCCATTAAGACTATACACCAATTAATATGGGTATCATGGTAACTTATGCACTTTATTTATTATTTCTTATGGGGTGTGCAAAGTCAATAGTGGACAAGTAAAAGTGAACGGAGGGAGTAATTACCCCAGGTTACTATCTCAAGCTTGAGCATTGAGAGCTTTTTTGAACTTGTCTCAAGTCAAGAGTCTGATCTTTGAGTTAACTTGTCTCTGTTAAATGGTTCAGAACCACCAGTGATAGTAGTTTTTTTTTAGTACATTAAATGAAAAAACTACTCATATATGCCCCGCCTGTAAGTTCCTTTGTCGTTGGGGAACAGATTTACAATCTCTTATCTAATGAATATGAATTTGCTATATAATATTCACTGACCTAGCTGCTCATTGCTAGAACTTTGAACTTGAACTGAAGCTGTCATGATACTTTTGGCCGGGGGGTTATATGTCAAGGTTCAATGCGGATAAGCGAGAACTTTGTGGGTGATCTTTTTGGTGTTCATCTTAATTAACACTGAGTGCATTCTCAGGCATTTTGTGTTTGAATATTACATAGAAGCTGCTTGTTACTGTTTTCTAGTTGAGAGAGTACCCCCCCCCCCCCCCCCAAACCCCAAAACTGTTTGCGCTATGGAATGACGAGAAGCAAACACCTGCTAGGAATAAGTTCATAAGAATGTTTCGGTAACTTTATCCTCTGAGAGTCTATCATGAGGTCGCTACAACTGACCTTCTATATAGTTAATTTCTTAAGCTCTCTACTTATTTGTAACCTTTTTCTTTTTATCTTTTCATTTTATTTTGCTTTCTATCCCTTTTGTGTGTGTGTATCTGTGTGTTTGTTCACTGTTCGCTTTCAATTCTTAAGCCCCTTATTCAAGTGTCTTGTGAATGTTTTGGGAAGTAAAAACAAGATAGAAAGTTGTTAGAGGCCTTGATTTAAATGGTTACTTCTATCAATTTGATAACTTCCTTTTCTGATCTGCGTGACTTCATGGAAGGTAGAACTAAACATAAATGAAAATCACGATCTTGAAAAACAAAAATGTTAGGTAATTTTTTTCATGTATTAAATTTTTGGCAGTTTGAGACTTTGAGTCATGCGATATTGATGAAAAATTGTAGGTACTCGAATAAATAAGCAAGATATTTTTCAAACTGCCATGAACAATATGTCATAAAAAGAATCAGTGATTATTTAGATATATTGTTTTTTGACGTTATCAATTTATTTAGTAGTAGTATCAATTTATCTTTTTCCCATTCTTCTACTTTTGTCAAAAGTAGGTTTCCAAATGTAGACCAATATTAAATTAGAAAAGAATACCTACCCCCACCAATCCACTTGCAAAATTATCTTATTCTTAATCAAGAGAAAATAGAGCTCACACATGTGGATGGGATATTATAAAAAATGAGAAAATGCATAAAGTACCCATTAAACTTGTCCGAAAAAATTATTTACACACCTAAACTTTACGGGCGACCTTTTACCCCTTATTCTAAACTTAAGTGAATTTAATACCCTCTTGAGTGATGACCTGGTATGAAAAGTGTAGTTCATTTTGTAGATGCGCGTGAAAGCAAAAATACAGCTTAAAACTAATTTAATTGTGCAGGTGTCACTTTTCTATTGGATATTATAACTAATTAAACTTAATACTAATTTTTTCTCTTTTCTTATTCATTTTCTTTTCTTTTTCGTTTTTTTTTTCTCTTTCTTCATTTTAACAGAAGCAGTGAACCAATGGCTCTAGCTTGGCTAAAATATCCATTTCCGGTGACCTTATTCTTATCTCCGTCCTTCTCCAATTGAGATTTTCTCCATCCGATTTTTCATCTATTTGCTGAAAAATACTTCTTTAGAACCAGAAATAGTGTTGAAAAGAAGACAAGGTGTCACTGGAAAATTCTCCGGCCAGAGAAAATTTATAGGTCCTTAACTAGTGGCTCTATATCTCAGGTTTCGTTCACTCTTCCAATACAAAACTAAGAGGAATAAAGTGACAAAAATTCTCCTAAGGAAACCCAGACGAAGGGAATTAGGAGCACAAACCCACCTTGTCAAAAAATACGGTACCGACGACACCAAGTTTTCCGGGCAACCAAACATTTCTCTCTATCCCAATCTTTCTGGCCTTTTTTCTCCTTAATTTCGTGTAATGTCAAAGCCACAGAAGAATAGAGATAGAGTTGATGGGTTTAAGGGAGGTTATGGCGGTGAATGGCTTCCATAATGGCGGGCGGCAAAAATAATGATGAAGGAAGGTAGAGAAGATGAAATGAAAAAAAGAGTGGAAAAGGAAATGTTAGTTTACTGTAGTCTTGTCCCATATTGGAAGAGGAATAATATCTCTTTGTAGTGTATAGCTATAAATATGGACCTCTTGTATTGTATTTAGGATCCAATATCAATAATATATTTTCTCCCATGCTTTCTCACATGGTATCAGAGCATTAGTGAGAAACTCGTCGCTGTGCATCATTCCAGCGACTTCCGGGAAGAAAGACCTATTCGCCATGCAATTGACTTAGAAGGCTGTCCGTAAGCAAATCACTTTCTGTTGGTGTTGTGCAAAAACCAACACTACCACAAGACTTCTCAGGCTCCGGCGACCAAACCCCAGTTAACCCCACCGGAAAACACACGTCCATGCGCCCTCACCCTTCTGAAAAATAAAATTTTTCCCGGCGAGATTTGACCCACGCGCCGGCGCGTGAGCACTGTTCCGGCCAGATTTTGAAAAAGTTCGAGTTGAATAGTAGGATCGCCTGGTAATTCCGATCCTACCCTCACTGGTTTTGATTCATTCCGACCACTTTGAGTTTTTCCGTCAATTACAGTAGATTCCGGCGAGCTACAGTATTTTCGGCGTGAACTATGTTTCCGACACAGAACAATATTTTCGACACAGAACAATGTTCTGTTTTCCTGCTGTAAACAGTGTTTTTCAAGCTATTTCTTAGTTTTCTCACAGGAGTTACTTATTTCTACTATTTCAAGTTAACCCTACTACTACAAATTGTAGCGACATGGGAACCGATGCTTTGAATAGTCGGATGGTTTCTTTAGCAGATTATATTGAGTTCCTTCAGTACAAAGCATCTAAGCAGACATCTTCTGAAATAGCTTCTGTTGTTCAAACAGGTAATAGCGTGACTTGTTTCTCCCAATCTTTATCCTCCGAGTCTTGGGTCATTGATTCAGGTGTATCAGATCATATTTCTGGTAACAAATCTCTTTTCACTACTATTTCGTATTCTCAATCTTTTCCAAAAGTCACAATGGCTAATGGGTCTCAAACCATGGCAACTGCAATAGGTCAAGCAAGCCCACTTCCTTCCTTACCTTTAGATTCAGTCTTTTATGTTCCCAATAGTCCTTTTAATCTCATAGCTCTTAGTCACTTAGCCAAATCACTAAAATATGATGTTTTATTTCTTGATGACCATGTTTTTATACAGGAATGCAGTACGGGGCGAATCATTGGTACCGCGCGTGAATCAAATGGACTTTATTACCTTATCCTTGCTAAATTACATGGATTCACATCTTGTCTTCCTTCTACAACTTGTCCTGTTACTGATTCACCAGATTTATTACATAAACGGTTGGGATATCCCAGTTTGTCAAAATTTCAGAAAATGGTATCTGGTTTATCTCACTTGTCAGTTCTAGAGTGTGAGTCATGTCAGCTTGGTAAGCATACTCGCTCCCATTTCCCTCGGCGTCTTGATAATCGAGCAGAGTCACCTTTTACTTTAGTCCATTCAGGTGTTTGGGGTCCTAGTCGGGTCATTTCCACCTTGGGATTCCGCTACTTTGTCAGTTTCATTGATGATTATTCCAGGTGCACTTGGATATTTTTGATAAAAAAACGATCTGAACTGTTTTCTATTTTTCAGACCTTCCACGCTGAAATTCAAAATTAATTTGGGGTTTCTATTCGCACATTTCGTAGTGATAATGCCCGAGAGTATTTGTCTTTCCCATTTCAGCAGTTTATGAAATCTCATGGGATTATTCATCAAATATTTTGTCCGTACACATCTCAACAAAATGGGTAGCTGAAAGAAAGAATAGACATCTTATTGAAACTGCTCGTACCCTACTCATACAATCTCCTGCCCCGTTGCGTTTTTAGGGGGATGCAGTTCTTACATCTTGCTATCTTATTAATCGTATGCCATCTTCAGCTATCCAGAACCAAGTTCCATTTTCTGTCATGTTTCCCCACTTACCTTTGTTCTCTATTCCACCCCGTAACTTCGGAAGCACTTGTTTTGTCCATAACCTTACTCCAGGAACAGATAAGTTAGCTCCTCGTGCTTGGTTTGGTAACTTCAGCACAATTATTCAGGAGTTCGGCATGACCCGTAGTGAGGCTAATCACTCTGTGTTTTATCGGCATTCTGCTCCTAATCTGTGTATTTATCTAGTGGTTTATGTTGATGATATTGTTATTACTGGCAATGATCAGGATGGTATTACTAATCTGAGCAACATCTCTTTCAGCACTTCCAGACTAAGGATCTGGGCAGATTGAAGTATTTTCTAGGTATTGAGGTCGCTCAGTCTAGCTCAGGTATTGTTATTTCACAGCGGAAGTATGCCTTAAACATTCTTGAGGAGATTGGAATGATGGGTTGCAGACCTATTGACTCTCCGATGGATCCGAATGCTAAGCTTCTGCCTGGACAGGGGGAGCCTCTTAGAGACCCTACGAGATATAGGAGGTTGGTTGGCAAATTGAATTACCTCACAGTGACTAGACCTGACATTTCTTTTCCGGTGAGTGTTGTAAGTCAGTTTATGGATTCTACTTGTGATAATCACTGGGATACAATTGTTCGCATTCTTCGATATATAAAGTCAGCTCCAAGCAAAGGATTACTATTCGAGGATCGAGGCCACGAGCAGATTGTTGGGTACACAGATGCTGATTGGACAGGATCACATTTTGATAGCCGCTCTACGTCTGGATATTGTGTTCTAGTAGGAGGTAATTTGGTCTCGTGGAAGAGCAAGAAACAGAATGTAGTTGCTCGATCTAGCGCCGAAGCCGAATATCGGGCCATGGCTATGGCGACGTGTGAGTTAGTTTGGGTCAAGCAGTTGCTCAAGGAGTTAATGCTCGGAGAAATCAGCAAGATGGAACTAGTGTGTGATAACCAAGCTGCTCTTCATATTATGTCAAATCCGGTGTTCCATGAGAGGACTAAACACATTAAGATCGACTGTCACTTTGTCAGCAGTTTATGAAATCTTATGGGATTATTCATCAAACATTTTGTCCATACACATCTCAACAAAATGGGGTAACTAAAAGAAAGAATAGACATTTTATTGAAACTGCTCGTACCCTACTCATACAATCTCATGCTCCGTTGCATTTTTGGGGGGATGCAGTTCTTACATCTTGCTATCTTATTAATCGTATGCCATCTTCAGTTATCCAGAACTAAGTTCCATTCTTTGTCATGTTTCCCCACTTACCTTTGTTCTCTATTCCACCCTGTATCTTTGGAAGCACTTGTTTTGTCCATAACCTTACTCCAGGAACAGATAAGTTAGCTCCTCGTGCTCTTAAG